TTACATGCATTTGAGATCAATTATGCATGTCATGTAAACATGTCATAACCTGATTAAGGTAATATTTTTAAAGGTAATAGTTTTTAAAAAACTGAATGAGACAAATAACATATGCCTGCATTCATCGAAATATTGTATCATGTAAACATCATATTCATAATATACACTGTAAATTAATATAGAAGACCATTACTTGAAATTCGTTAAAAAGTCAGTAGTTTTTCAGTATGCTGTTTTATAAAGAAATTAATACTTTTATTCAGCATTTAGTATGCATTACATTTATCAAAAGTGGCAGTAATGGCATTTATAATGTTTCAAAATATCTACATTTCAAAAAAATTTGGTTCTTTTAAAGTATATTCATCAAAGAGTCCTTTAAAAAGTATCAAGGTTTCCACAAGAATATTAAGCAGCACAACTGTTTTCAATATTGATAATAATGAGAATTGTTTCTTGAGTGCCAAATCAGCATATTACAATATTTTTTAAGGATCATGTGAAGACTTGAGTAATGGCCGTTTAAATTATTTGTAAAATAATAGCAGTTAATATAACATAATAACAGTTAAACAGTTATTTAAAACTGTAATAAAAAAAAATACAGTATTACTGTTTTTTACTAGTTTTGAACACATAAATACAGCCTTGGTGAGAATAAGAGACTTCTTTCAAAAACAGTAAAGAATCTTACAGCCCCCAAATGTTTAAATGGTAGCATATGCAGGAATATTTCATTAGCATATAAGCAGTTTTCTGATAGCCCTTAACCTGAAAATGATGAGCATGGTCATTTATTTGTGTGTATCTATCCCTCTCTGTGAGAGAAAGAGAGAACAGCATGAATCGATGGATAAATGGGCTCCCTGCCTGCACTGACAGTGCATGAATTGTCAGACTTTGTGTGAAACGCACAAACACACACCTGCTGTTAGACACAATGATCTTCCTCCGAGGACTCGTTTTCTCACTATGTGCTAATGAGAGACCAGCTCAGCCAAAGATTCCCACCAATCTACCCAAAACAAACAACAAGGAACATACAAAACAGTAGGAGAGAAAAGTGGGGGGATGCTAAGACATCCAGGTGCTGATACAGACAGACGTGCCATTTTATTCCCATGCTTAAAAACACATTTTCCCCGGATATACAAGTGCAAATAATGTGTGCAAATACGCCTACCCCAAACACATGGCCTATATGTATTCAAAATGCAGGTCCCTACAGGTATTTGTAGCCTGTGTAATTATAGAAGCCTGTTAAAAACACACCTGAAAATCAGGATTATAGGGGTTTTGCTTTTGCAACACCATTAAATCCTTGCTGGATTTTCACTCTTTGGGAACTCTAACCGAAAGACTTTGTTTGACCTCAAACAGCTCTCGGAGCTCTAAGTGCTCCTGTGACCTTTTTTTTTTGCTGACCTTTGACCTCTGACATCTGTACGCTGCTCTCTTGCTTCTGGTGGAGGTATCTGAAAGCTGCATTATGTGTCTATATATATTTATGCAAAAATCAACTTTTAGCCAAGCCTGCTAATGGTAAGTAAATGAAGAAAATTTGCCAGGCATAAATATTTCTTAACAGTATTTTGCATTATTTGTTTTTATAAAATATATTTAAAATGTACACAATATTTTTTTTAAAGTATCTTATGCTCACCAAGGCTGCATTTATTTGATCAAAAATACAGTAAATCAGTAATATTGTGAAATATTACAAAAAAGTATATTTTAGAATATTTTAAATGTAATTTACTCCTGTGATGGCAGCCTTCAATGTCACATGATCCTTCACAAATCATTTCAGTTAGCTGATTTTGTGCTCAAGATTTCTTATTATTGCCCATGTTAAAAAATAGTTGTGCCTATTAATATTAATAATATTAATCAAATTAATATTTTTGTAGAAACCATGATGCATTTTTTTCATATTCTTTGATGAATATAATTTTTACTGTCACCTTTGATCAATTTAATGCAGCCACACTGAATAACTATTAATTTATTGTATCAATTTCTGTAAAAAAAAAATGTATCTGTTTTTTTGTCTCATATATTATGGACAAACAGTGCAGGCCACTAGCACTAGTGTCACTAGCAGTATTATAGATTAAAAAACTGCATTTATCACAAAAAAGTCGATCCATTGTCATTTTATTAATTTGCAGCTTATTGCATTGCAGCTTAATTTAAGAAATAATCAACATCTGTCACCACATGGAGACAATCTTAGATGTAGATGGCATAGATGTACAGGTCAAGAAAGACGTTTGGTCTGAATTACTCCTAAATTAACTAAAAATGCAAGACGATTTTTACTTACACACTGCATGCATCACTGCCATTTTATGTACCTGTAAAAGCTCACTTGCTGATACCAAGCTGTATGTACATGTATAGAACAAAGCGTAAAAATAACATTAAAAAAAAAGGTATAGTACATATTATTCTAAACTGTTAATAATCATAATGAAGTCACTGAATGCTGAAAAAGTGAAAAACACTTTTCTCACAAATGCAGTCACAAGAACACTAGAGTGACTTCAGCACAGCTCTCAGAAAACAAGTTACTTTTGTCTAGCTAACGTCATTTAGGAGGGGGCGCCTACACATGATCAAGGTTACACCACCAACCAAAAAAAACAACAACAACTCTATATTCTCTAGTGTTATGACATTGAAAATGATATCTGTCATATCTTGTTTTACATCTTACAAACCTTGACAAATACTTGTTTTCACTCCAGGGAGATCTGGCAGTTATGCTGTTGTGTGCAGGATTGTGAAAGACATAAATCTCCAGACTAATGCAATATCTTATGCTCACACTGGCAACTGCAAGCGTGCAAGAAAGTCCTCGTACTCCTGTGCCAAATGTTACGAAACATCTGATGTACTGAAGACGCCCTGCAGACAAAACCGTCTAGACGTCGTTTGCCTTAACGCTATACCTGGCTCAGGTGGTGATCCAGCCAATGCCTTAGCGTATGTTTATCATATTTACTGAGTAACGTCTACAGCGAAGTGATTTTACAGATTGCAAAAAAAAAACTTGTTTGGGTTCAAACACATTGAAGGCACATAAACACACATGTACCCTCATACAAAGAGAAAGATTGATAGAGTGTACAAATGAACTGAACCATTAAAATAAACATAACGGTGTTGATTAAGCGTTACTTTGACGTCTGCATGTCTTCATTCTGCCTACCAATGCAAGTGTGACTTCAAAATTTAAAAATGCCGCCACAGGATGAAATCAACCGCCATGACGGAAACCGCAAAAACAAAGCCACCTACTTATATACCACAATTCAGGATACGCCCAACAGACACTAAAAACTCTCACAGACACATACATTCATATACATACCACAAAAATGTGTTCTTAGTTACTATGATCGACCAGCAAGAGTGGTTTTTATCCCAACCAAACTACCAGGTACAGATATAGATATCTATCCACAAAGTCTTCCAGCCTCACACATCTGATAACCGAAACTTGTCAACAACATCTGTTACCTCTGAGAAAAATTTATGAATCTAGAAAGTAGTTTAAGAATGAATGAAAACCTTAATGATTATATTTCTGAAGGCCTCAAATCAGAGTTTTAATGTAATGCTTTTACAATACTTATATTATCATTAGTAACAGGCCAACATTGCCAAAATTGACGATATTTACCTTTGCATGTTTCTGACCGTATTGTTCATGACTTATCTGTTATGTTGTTCCCAAGAAAGTTTGTCTAGTTTTGTCTAAAATGACTTTATTCTATGAAGATGGCTTGACTTTTGGACAATGTTAATTACTAGATAAATAGTTATTTAGATATTGTTTTGGCAAACTTTCATTTGGTGTTGCTATGTTTTGGTACTGTATGTAATGCCCACTTTTCACATTCACAACAAAGTCCTACCATACATTTTTTTCTAACTGAACATCCTGTTTCACTTGAAAATATATCAGATTACACTGTAATAGAGTGACAGACTACAGTAAATGGCCTTTTGCAACACATTTTCTTAAAATCTGTTGCAAAGAGCAGTTCATTCTAGTAGCAGACAATTAAAGTAGCTACATTCAAACTATTAGAACTATCACAACCTTGACTGGTATATTTTGAAATCAATCTATTCATTATCTGTCAAATATGATAAAATATTTGTTAATTGCCTATAAAGGAAAGCTATATTGAAGTGTTTTACCACAAGCCCTATGATTTTAGCTGTTGTGAGAGTAAAACAATCACATTTTAAAAAAATACTTAATGTTGCCTTATAAAAATATTACTGTGACACATTTTTAATTTCACTTGCATGTTTGGCATATTTTTATGCATAAATTAACTCTCTGGCGCCATCTGCTGGCTTTATTAAAAAGCTGGTTGTTTACATATAATATAGTAATTGCGCCATCTACTGTTAACACAAGGCACTTCCTTAAAACTGAGTGACAATACATAGTGTGCCAATTAGGACAAGAAAAATAAACTGAAATCATGTTGAAAAGCAACAGACAGAATAATTTTGTTTAATGTTGTTTAAGTCATTAAATGAGGCAGATGACCAGAAGCGAGACCAGTGAAAAAGTAACGGCGGGTGGCAAGTGATGTCTCAAATAACTTTTAAAGTTTTTGTTTTGCTGTATTGATACTTTGTACAATTTATTGTATTTTGAAGTTTTAAACGAGGCAACAATACTACCACAATATATAAATAAATATGGGTCTGATAGGTCTGATACTGTACTATTTTATAATTTCATATTAACAAATACTTTTCCTATTTTAAATTCTTGACATTTCTCTATTGTTTACATTTGTATAGAAACTGTCTGACCTCAATATGATGCCATGCCCTCCCCCGAACAGAAAGCTCGAGAATGATTGGCCACTGTGGCAGCACCGAAAAACAAGAATCTGATTGGATCCTGGTGGCGCGAAAATAATCACATGGTACAGCATTTCGCGCGAAAACTTCTGAAACAGCTCGTGTGCTTCTTGTGTTTGATGGGACATAGCGTACATTATTGTTATAACTTCGTAATAACAATTTATTACAAAAATGGATCTTATGGAACAAGGAACAAATCCGAATGCTGGTCAGATGATCAAGGACGAACTGGCGGGAAAATGCCAAAAATTATTCCAGGCTTTTTTGGAAGAGTGAGTAAATGCGGTGCTTCTTATTGTTCCTCAGTATCATGAAAGTTACACGATGGGTAACGTTAACCGTATAGAATAATTACAATATTTCCTATGAAACATTACACGCTTGTACACTAACATTAGTCGTATGATTTCATGTTAAACTACAAATATATTTATATGGAATTGTAGAATTAATATGTTCGCATGAACATTACACCCGTGCACGTGAGCATGCATTATCTTTGCTATAATGTATAATAAATATATTTTTTGTGTGATTTGTATACATTTGTACATTATACATTTGTATAAATTGTTGTGTACCGCTCCGCAGGTTTCAGAATAGCGATGGAGAAGTGAAGTACCTGCGGGACGCAGAGGAGTTGATCCGGCCGGAAAGGAACACACTCGTGGTCAGTTTTACCGACCTGGAGGGCTTTAATCAAGAACTGGCAACCGCCATCCAGGAAGAGTTCTACAGGTGTGAAAGGAGCCAAAAGAAAAATCTAAATTGTTTTCATACATTGCTTTTGAATTTAGTCACCATATACTTTGCTATATTCATCTTACCGTTGAAATATAAGTACACAGTCATTTAATTATTAATGCTTAAAACCCTGAAACATTATCATGTAGCACATAATGCATAATCTCAGATGTGTAGTTAGTGTGTGGAATATGAGTATGTAGTGCAAATTGACTTGCATTTGGCAGAGGCTTTGACAACTAAAAAGCTGCTTTATTGAATTGATAACACATTGTTTTTATCTGCATGTACAAAGTCAAACTTTTTTATGTTTTGTTTTAGACTTTACCCCTTCCTGTGCCGTGCTGTGCGTAATTTTGCTCGGGATCATGGAGAAGTTCCAACCTCAAAGGAATTCTATGTTGCCTTCCAGGATCTACCAACCAGACACAAGTAAAGAGAATTTTCAAGACAGTGTGACAAATTAATCATTTAAAACTAAAATACTGTATATCTGACAAAATGATATTCTTGTTATTTTGAACAAATGCCTCCTTAACTAATGTGCTCCTGTTCTGGGCTCCTGCAGGATCCGTGAGTTGACCGTGGTGAAGGTTGGCTCACTTGTGCGCATCAGTGGTCAGGTTGTCCGTACTCACCCGGTTCACCCTGAGCTGGTGAGCGGGACCTTCCTGTGCTTGGACTGTCAGGGAGTGATAAAGGACGTGGAGCAGCAGTTTAAATACACTCAGCCAAGCATATGCCGCAACCCTGTGTGCAACAACCGTAGACGATTTCTCCTGGATACAAACAAATCCAAATTCATTGACTTCCAGAAGGTATGACAGGAAGCCATAGACTTTTATGTGTTTTGGTCCCCTTTCCTCTCTTGAAATGATGGAAAAGTTACAGTGCAAAGCATGAATAGGTAAAGTTCAAAACAGCTTCTTTGTAGTTGATGATGTTTCATTGGTAAGGAAATTTTTCTGTTGGTTAGACCTTGAGGAAAAAATGAGAAATTTCTAATTTTTCTGCCAAATGTTTCCTGCTACACACAAGTGACGTGTCAAAACCAATTTTTTACATGATAATTTGCAATAACATTTTTATAAATTAAATCTTAAATGTAAACTTTAAAAAATGTCATTCATATTTGAAGCAAATGGAGAAGTTCAGGAAATAAAATAATTAAATCAGTAATGAAAATAAAAGGTTGTTTCAACAGATGTTTCTTATGTCAGTTTCTAGTGGCATAGGGCTATTTTAAAAGCTAATTGTGATATTTCTAATTAAAAAATTGCCATTTTTATTTAAAATAAAAAAAATAAAAAATTTAAAAAAAAACACAAGGTTTGCTGTGCTGGTTTTTATGGCTGCATAGTTATGCCAAAAATGTTATGATTACATACAAATATGCTTTAAAATAACAATAGTTGTTATTATTATTAAATGAAAATATAAAAACAAAAAATATTACTATTGTAATATTTCACTGTAAAAAAAAAAAAATCTAATGTCTCTCTGAAACATACGGCACATGTTTATTTAATTAAATCACAGTGTCTGCGATTGGATAATTGCACTAAGCCATTATTTCAACTTCAACTCAGAAAACAATATCCCACGCTTGAATGTTAAATTTTTATTAATCTTTCCTATTCTGTTGCACTCTGTCAGGATGACTGAGTGGTTGACATTTCATCATACTAGCCCTGTGCCATTGTCGACTGCTGTACTGTGTTTTAAAGTGTTGTTAGTGTATTTTGACGTTTTACTTGCCTTGATTCCAGGTGCGTATCCAGGAGACACAGGCTGAGCTGCCACGGGGCTCCATTCCTCGTAGTATGGAGGTGATTCTGCGGGCCGAGGCTGTGGAGTCGGCACAGGCCGGTGATAAATGTGACTTCATTGGCTCCCTCATCGTTGTGCCAGATGTATCCCAGCTGTCCACACCAGGTACACACCTCTCATCCAGTCGGCCGTCACTGATGTTTATACAGCGGTTGTAAGTCTGAGTATTGATTATGTTTGTTTCAGGTGTGCGTGCTGAGAGCAGCTCTCGTACAGCTGGGGTGCAAGGTTACGAGAATGAGGGTCTCCGTGGGCTTAAAGCGCTGGGTGTCAGAGAACTTTCCTACAAACTTGCTTTCTTGGCATGCCATGTAGCCCCCACCAATCCCAGAGTAAGAGTCGAGCCCAATGTAGGCATGGAGGTCTCATTTCTGTTATTCCAGATTATTTTAATGGGATGTCTCTGTTTGTAGTTTGGCGGTAAGGAGATCCGGGATGAGGAGCAGTCAGCGGAGAGTATCAAGAAACAGATGACGGTACAGGAGTGGGAGAAGGTGTTTGAGATGAGTCAAGATAAAAACCTCTACCACAACCTCTGCACCAGCCTCTTCCCTACCATTCACGGTTAGCCACTTTGAACATCAATATGTTGGGCACAAATACAAATTGATGCTAACAAAATGAATTCATATATTAGTGGTCAAGTGGCCAGTGGCAATACCAGTAACAGGAGAGTGGTTTGGCTGATATAATGCAGATAAATAAACATTAGCCGGGTTTCCATCCAAAGTTGCAAATTTAACTTGTGCACAAAATTGGAATATCGCACAAAACATTTGCGAACAAGCACCGTTTCCATTCAACGAGTCAAAGAAAACAAAATCATCACTTCCTGATAAACTGGCACTATACATCACTAAGAAAAGTAGGAAAAGCTACTGAATATAATAATTTTCCTACATAATAAATTGCACCTCAGAACGAGCAGACGAAGCACAATGAATGCGGTTATTGCTTTCGGAGGTGGATGCTGCTGTTTGGGAACGCAGTCGTTTAACAGTTCTAGGAGGCAATTATACAGAAATACTTTAATGACAGACTTTGCTCTGGCATTTCCGAATGACCATATAACAACATCTCAGATGCTGTGGAACAAGATCGGTCCGCTGGTTAGTCAGGATTTGCCGTCCCATAGCGCAAAGTCACGTGACTTTTTTGATGCGCTTGGAGGAATTTATTCGCAAAATGCATTTCCATCTCCCATTATTCGCATTAACCCTTTTTCGCACAAGTCAAAAACCACCTCAAGCGAGCGTAAAAACCTTTTTGCGAATAAAGGCATTTTTATTCGAAATTCAGCGTTTCCCTGGAAACCCAGCTACTGTAAAAAGTGAAAATTTGCAGTTGTTACCTTGAATGAATAGTTAATCCTAAAATGAAAATAAGTCATCAGTTACTCAAGCTCACGTTGTTATAATCGCATAAGATATATATTAATCTTCTAAACACAAATGTAGAATGGAGAGAATTTTTTGGAAGCCCATTCCCCAAAATGTTGATGCCTTAAAAAGTTCATGAAGACATTGTAAAAGTAATCCATATAAAGAGGATCTGGCACATCAAGCAAGCACGTTTTAGCTGCTGTTTACCATATTTGATGTGCTCTATGTATGTGCATTGATCAATGTCTATATGTGTCTCTTCATAAGACTTGGATTAAATCGCTTGATTCGTGTGGATTTCTCTTTGTAAACTTTTGAATAAATGATCATTTTTGGGGAAACTAACTCTTTAAAGAGCTATTTCTACCTGATATGTCCTTTGAAATTACTTTTAGCGGTGTAACCAAATGTAGTTGTGTTGATTTAGTCATCGAAATAGATTTAGATTTTAGGTTGTCTTGACTAAACATTTTTTACATTATATGATGCAGTTAAATTATTTCTGATATGATATCTGCTGTTGTCAGGTAATGATGAGGTAAAGCGAGGGATTCTGCTCATGTTGTTTGGAGGCGTTCCTAAAACCACCATGGAGGGCACATCTCTGAGAGGAGACATCAACGTCTGCGTCGTTGGAGATCCCAGCACAGCCAAGAGCCAGTTCCTTAAGTAAGACTTGTTTATCTTGTAAAGCAAGAGCACTGTTAACAGACTATACTAATGTAATTATTCTTGAACGCATATCAGCCAGTATTTTTAGAGTTTTAAATGTAAAGGGAATAAGGTGTAATATACTGACATTGCAGAGAGTTTTTTCATTTTCTTCTGATTTGTGTATAAAAAGGATTAGTTGTCAGTATGTATTAATTCTCACGGTTTGGCTGTTATTCAGGCATGTAGAGGAGTTCAGTCCCCGTGCGGTCTACACCAGCGGTAAAGCCTCCAGCGCGGCCGGTCTCACAGCTGCTGTGGTGAGAGACGAGGAATCACACGAGTTTGTCATTGAAGCCGGAGCACTCATGTTGGCTGACAATGTGAGTTTATCTTTACAAATGATTTGTGTAAAGTCCCTGTACGTCCGAGTCACTGAAATCCCTATTGATTTGACATTGTTGTCCATAGGGTGTTTGCTGCATTGATGAGTTTGATAAGATGGAAATGAGAGACCAAGTAGCCATCCATGAGGCTATGGAGCAACAGACCATCTCCATCACCAAAGCAGGGGTCAAGGTGAGTGTCAAAGATTAAAATGCAGATTTATAGGTCACATATTAGCTTATCTATCATCAGTGCATTTGGGACATATTTCTACTAGCAGTTTGGATTAGGGCTGGGAAAATAAATCGATGCATCACGAATCGAGAAATGATTCTGAGATTTCCCGAATGCATCGCGATTCTTTCTCGAGTCGATTCTGAGCTTAGTTTTGAACAGCAGATGGCGCTGCATGCTTTAGAAACAGCCGTACTCTGCTTGTTTCCAAATCCTTACACGCACTGAACCTAAAATAATCATTCATAAAATTCAAAAAAGGTTGAAGCGAATTACAAGGGTGGTCACAGTGGGCTGTTTATATTAATCTGGCATCATAAAAGCATTCTGACCCGAGGTGAAATTACAGACTCAGGCGAACGCACAAGCGCTCTTCAGCGCTCTTCTTCATGAGCATTTGAGTGTTCGGTTAAAAACTAGATTAGAGCGCCATCTGCTGTTAAAATCTAAGCTCAGAATCGATTCCAGAGAGAATCGCAATGCATTTGGAAGATCTCAGAATCGAGCCACGAATTGATTCTGCATCGATTTATCGTCGCAGCCCCAGTTTGGATATAAAGACCTATAATAAGGCATTTATTAGGGGCGGATGATAAAATTAGGCTGCTGTCACTTTAAGACTTAATGTATATACTTACCCGTTTTTTTCCAGCTGCTAACATTAAATGAAGACCTAACCAACTGTGTTTACGTCAACACTGGCCAAGAGAGGCATTTTGTAATAACTTTGAGAATATTTGACTGGGTTTTTTTTGACAATGCAACACTGCAGTGTCAATGTAACTGCAATAGAGACCAGGTTTATCATGTCTACCGGTACATTGCACACCCCTGACCACTGTAGTTAAGATATTTTATACTTGTTCCATAAAAGTCTAATTTTGTCAAATTGTAGGCCACTCTGAATGCTCGCACATCCATCTTGGCTGCAGCAAACCCAGTGAGCGGACGTTATGACCGCTCCAAATCTCTCAAACAGAACATCAACCTGACGGCACCCATCATGTCACGTTTTGATCTCTTCTTCATCTTGGTAGACGACTGCAATGAGGTATGAGTATGTGTGTTCTGACCAACAATCCAACAGCATATGAAGATGATTGTAGATACAAAGGGATGTTGTTAGACTCTTAGTAAATGCCTCTGTCTTTTATTTCAGGTCACTGATTATGCCATTGCCAGACGTATAGTGGATCTCCACTCCAGAATTGAGAACTCTGTCGAACGTGTCTACAGCCTAGATGAGATTCGCAGATACCTGCTGTTTGCTCGCCAGTTCAAACCAAAGGTGAGAAGCTCAGGTAGACTTAATGCAAGCAGGTGTATGCTTGAACCGAAAAGGTTTCTTGTTTGCATTTGGTTCAGATCTACACACCTGGACACTTTGTTTACAATTTTTGTATGAACTGGTATTTGGCGCCACGCTGTTACATTGTCACAATGTCAGCTATTTCTTAACTGTGTCTCGATCTGTGTGTGTGTGTGTGGTATCAGATCTCAAAGGAGTCTGAGGAATTCATTGTGGAGCAGTACAAGCGTCTGAGACAGCGGGACGGCTCCGGAGTCACTAAATCAGCTTGGAGGATTACAGTACGGCAGCTGGAAAGCTTGATTCGTCTTTCGGAGAGCATGGCAAGGATGCACTGTTGTGATGAGGTGTGTATGGGAAAAAAAAGAGAAAGACGACAACATGATTTTTGTTTCCTGAAATGATGTTAGTTAGCTAATCTCTCAAATAAATATCAATATTAGTTCATTGTCAGCTCATGTCCATTAATATTAAAAGACAACAGACAACAGATTTTGATTTTAATAATGTATTAGTAAATGTTCTAAGCTATTTAGTAGTCCCAGGTCTGTCGACAGCATTACAAATCCATATCACTTCACCAAATTATTCTAGTTATTTCAAAGGTCCTTTCAACCTATAAAAGAAAATGAACCAAAACCCACACTCACTAAGCAAACAAGTATGACTAACAATAGGTTAAAAATGACAGACAATTTCCATCTTTTTCCATCTTTGAATTACCTCTTATCAATGGAAAGCATGCTTTGTCACACATACTGTACAGACACACAGAGAAAAACATACACATGTATAGAAACTTATTGTCAGTGCTGCCCCACAGTTGACTTTTTTGCAAATGTAAAGCTACAAGACATTTCTTACTAGCAAGGTGGTAACATCACTGTTTTTAAAGCAGTTAAATATACAGTTTCACTAAGAGACGCATGCTGCTGCTGAACACAATTGAGAGGCGCACATTACCACCTAGGGTGTGTATTATTTTTCAATAATTCAGCAGCCTGTAACCAATTATTCCTTAATTCTGTCTTCTTGTTTCTATCTTTTAGGTTCAGCCAAAGCATGTCAAAGAGGCTTTCAGGCTGCTGAACAAGTCTATTATTCGGGTCGAGACTCCTGATATTAATCTGGACCAGGAGGAAGAGGAGGCCATGGAGGAGGAAGAAGATGACAATCAGATGAATGGTAGAGTCATTCTCTGTTTCTAGACGTGTAAACACTTCATTCAGCCTCTAAATAAAGTAATTTTGATAAATCTACGTTTAGTACAACATGCTTCTAAACCAATATTTCTCAACTGGGGGCCGCAATATGTCTTAGAGTTTAGGCATATTATTCTTACTTAAAGGTATAGTGCACCCAAAAATGAAAAGTCTTGTCATCATTTACTCACCCTAATGTTGATCCAAACCTGTATGACGTACATCCTTCTGTGGAGCACAAAAGATATTTTGAAGAACGTTGGGATCTGAAACTGTATTGTTATCAACATTCTTCAAAATATCTTCTTTTGTGTTCCACAGAAAAAAGGAAAGTCGTACAGATTTGTAATAACATGAGGGTGACTAAATGATGACAGTCTTTTCATTTTTGGGTGGACTATCCCTTTAAAATACAACAAAAAAAAATATGTCCAACATTAACATGTTTTTGAGCATATTTTTGTTACAACAGAAGAACTAGATGTACATTTAATCCTAGACTTGAATATTGTTTTGGACAAAGGGGGCATTAAGAGTCCAAAATATGACTGTTTTAAACATACTTCTTTGTTTTCTTGCTGTTTTTAGGCCATGATGCACCTAACGGTGTGAATGGAGATGTTAATGGAGAAGTGAATGGTCACGAGCATACAAATGGTATTAACGGTCACGGGGTCAACGGTGAAAGCGCCAAACCCTCGCTGCGACTGTCATTTGCAGAGTATAAACGCATTTCTAACCTTTTGGTGCTACATCTGCGTCGCGCTGAGGAAGGTGAGCACTCTACAAGTCTTAACAAACTGTAATTTCAGCAATTATTATGCACTTTTAACACGAACTACAACATGACAAGCTCAGACAACACAGCACAGCCCACAGGAATCTAATTTGCATTGTGCCATTTCTCCTAGCCGAGGACGAGACTGCGCTTAAGAAGAGTGAAGTAGTGAACTGGTATCTGAAGGAAATCGAATCAGAGATCGATTCAGAAATGGAACTCATCAATAAGAAGGCAATGATAGAGAAAATTATCTACAGACTGGTTCACTATGTAAGGAAACATTTTCATGTGATTTAAATCTCTTTATGTGTAAGTTATATGTGAATATGTTGTGTTGAGACAACATTAAGTGTTAATATTCACTTTTATCTTCCATCAGGATTATATTTTGATTGAGCTGACACAGTCTGGGCTGAAAGGATCAGCTGAGTCCAGTGGAACAGAATCCCAGGAGAAAGATGTTACGCTGGTGGTCAACCCCAACTACACATTTGATGACTAAACATTTTGACCTTGACATTTTCTGCTGTATTAACTCAAAGTAAGGGATGTTATTTGAGATGGCATTCAGAAAGTGGTGGTGTGCCTCTTCAGTCCCTTCTCTTTTTGTACATTTTTAGCTTTTTCCCCACAATGTTTTTCCATTGCTTCGTAAGGATGGTTATAACCATTCTCATTTTTATGAGGATTTGTGTGACCTTGCCAAAAAAAAAAATATATGTTAGTAATATCTTTTGTAAATATGTTTTTTGTTTTTATTCTAGTGTTTTAGAACATTTTAGAATGTTAGTAATGGGCATGCATACAGTGTTTTGCATATATAGTTTATCATGTTTTGTTAAGTGCTGTCAAAGTGTAATGTCAATATAAGTTGTGTTCATTATGCAATAAATAATAACAGATGTTTATTTGCTGAAAAACATGTCATCCTTTATATGTTTAAAACAAATGAGATGTTATTCATGTTTGGAAATCACTTATAATGTTCTTGGCCAGTTGTCGGTAGAAATTACCCGTTCAAATACCATGGATTTCCATATATTAATAAAAATACAAACTAAAAAAAAGAAAAATTGTCTAACTTTGGCTACGTTTAATTTAGTTCTTTGTTGTTGGAAAAATGTATTTACAGAACATTCATTTCTAAAATTAACTCTTTTTAAATTATAGATAAGCAACCTTTTTAAAACTTAAAAAGAGGGTATTTTCACTAATGAATATAAAATTATTTTGGTTAAACGAACTGAACACGCTCGTCATAGTGCGCCACAAAGTCACGTGAACGAACGTGCTTCTCTTCCTTACACAACAAAGATGGCGGCGCACTGTAGGAACCTGATGAGGTCGACTTTGCAAGGTAGATAAACGTGTGAACATATGATTTAATAAATTGCTTTATAAACCATGATACATCTGAATGATTTGTCTGTACATTATTACCTTCCTAATGAAATATTTTAAACCACCGCTACTAATTTTAATTACTGGTGCATTGACAAATGATAGCTTGACAGGCACAGAGGAGATTCATGCAGCAATAATTTACTGTAAGTTACTTGCATTTAGTTGTATGCAAAGAACCGTTCAAGATAAATATGGCTAATGAGAACTCTGGGAAGACTAACTACTCTTGTTGTTCAGACTCAGAATCTCACATGTAGTAGGTAGATTAAATGCCACTATTTCAGGGAATCCCATCAGTCTGATGAATTATTAAGTGATATTACATGAGCAAAAATGTTATTCCGAATATCAGCATAAGTGTGGTTAAGCTGTTATCCACATAATTGCAGCCATACTGATACTTAGACCGGTATTGCTTGTGTACAACACCAGTTCACACAATATTAACATAAGTTAATATTGAAAAACTTACATTTTAGACAGAATACAACTCCAAACGAAGCCAAAGCAGAATCAACCATTGCGCGTCTCCGAGCATTACACAGCAATGGAGTTTGGCTCCTGAATGAATCAGTTGTTGGTGTTAAATGAATCAATCAATTATTCAATGACTAAATAAAGACAGTCACGTGTCGCCACCTACTGGCATTAATAAGAAGCTCTAACAATGTAGACAAGGGATAAAACTGGGTTTGATTCCCATAATAAAACATAAATGGTTTTGGATTAAACTAAAGCATCTGCTAAATGTAAATATGAGCATTATCCATATCTATATCTACAGTAATACAGGTGCATCTCAATAAATTAGAATGTCGTGGAAATAAAAATGTTTTTTTTTTTATTGGTCTTATGAAGTATTCTAATTTGTTGAATTGGTGGGTTTTTGTTAAATGTGAGCCAAAATCATCGCAATTAAAAGAACCAAAGACTTGAACTACTTCAGTCTGTGTACATTGAATTTATTTAATACACGAGTTTCACAATTTGAGTTGAATTACTTAAATAAATGAACTTTTCCACAACATTCTAATTTATTGAGATGCACCTGTAAGTGCTAGCCTGCGATGCAGATGATAAACTGGCCCCATTATCTACAAGCCATCATCCATTCCTAACCCATAATTCAACCGCTGAAATCATCTGTGCCCACTTGATTCTTAACGCTAACCAGCATTACTACACAAACCTATTAACCTGACCAGACACTTCCTCTGCATACAGATAACTCCATTTTATTTCATATCTTGTTGTTCACAAAACACTCTATATATGATCTAGTAGTAGGTCAGTATGGAAAGAATGCCGAAAATAAATGTAGGCTGAATGTGATTAAACATTGTTTAACATCTTTCCCATTTTGTTCAGGTTTGTATAAGTTATCAAATAGGACATTATGGATTGGATCTCGCTATGAGCAAAGCGTTGCTCGTCCCAGACTGCAGGACAATGTTTTGCACGGCAGAGCTCTACACTGCGGACATTACGCTTTACAAACCATCACCAAGACAGAGTCTCCAAAAGTTACGAACACACAGAAAGCACCAGAACCTGAAAACAAGACCAACCAACAAGAGAAAGATGAAGAGGAGGAGGAAGATAACAGGCCTGAGTACATCCCCAAAAGAAAGGCCAAAAATCCACTGATGAAAGTTGGATATGCATGGTTAGTAGTACTGTCAGAATAAACCAGTAGTGAAAAGAATTTCAGGCCACTGACACTGAGATGCTTTCTTCTAGGATGATCGGCCTGCCTACTGGAATCATTGGCTTTATTCTGGCAAAGAGACAGGTGGACAAGAACCGACTCAAGCAGCTGAAAATCAGACAGAGAATGAAGAAAGCCACTGAGGGAGATTACGAGAGTGAGCGATATAAACCAGCCACCAGGATGCAGTGAAAGCTGTACTTTGTGAAAATGACTCTATTGTGCTAGAGAATGGCTTCATTGTGCACAAAATCATTGGGTTGCCATGGAAACAGTGAACTGAGCAGGATATAACAAAGACATTGTAGAAAGCAAGCATTTATTATGGTGTATCTTTTGATCTTATGGATGAGTTGATGAAGACCTCAACTGAAGGATTTCAGTGTTGCCTGTTTGAAATGTTTTATATATTTTGATGCGGTCATCACCATGCTTGTTCATATGCATACAGAACACCATTATAAGCAACCACTAGTAACTATTAAAATCAATTAAATAATACTCGTGTTCCTTTTATTATGATAATCCTCACAATAACAATGATTACATATCAAACTTTAGCCATTGTTGTTCAACATGTGGCATGAGAACATTGTAACAGAAAATACAGGTTTACTTTGTTTATACAATTCAAATATATAACAATTCATTTATATGTAGTTAACACTTTTTATAACAATTTATTCATGGTGTATATTTGGTGCCAAACAAAGGAAAGGCACCATTGTAGATCACATACTCTGTGACATTTAGTTAAGTGTAGTATCAAATTCATTAAGTAAAGGCATTTATTTCCCAAAATTAAAGCACAATATTTGATGTAGACTTTTATATTGTATATAAAGATGTCTGTGATAAATATTCTAAATTCATAAACTAAAATACAGTTCGATTGTATGTACAAAGCAGAAAAGCTATACCCTCGACCAAAATGTACCACGCACATTAAATATATTTAGTAAATACAGCAAATCTAAGTCTATACAGTAGAAATTTGCCTAATACAGATCCACTTCTAATAGACAGCTTCCATTTCCATGACAAAGTAATGGCTATATAATATCACTCATATTTTATTGGAACATATGCATATTGTTAGTAAATCATGGAAATGATATTCATTCCTTACCAGTTGTTTCATCAGTATAAAGCTAGATATGTTTTACAAGTTCTGTATTATTTGAGTACGTTAGTTAGGTCTGGATTGAGAAGACACTGCACAGTGCATAAACATTAAAGACAAAACAGAAAAGGTCCATCGGCCAGCTTAAAGCTTCTATCTCTCTGCATATCCAATAATTTGCAGGAGGAAGATGAAGATCTGGACAATGTCAACATAAAGGGAGAGAGCCGCAAACACATACTCCTCTGGCCCGATGGAGAGCTTCCTGTTCCCGATGAGCAGCTGGGTATGATAGGCCAGAAACTAAATCATTTAAAAACACACAAATGCAAAGAAGTGAATTTAGGATTGAACGAGTAAGCAATTTTCCCATGCAAAGCTGAAGTATTCCAAGAAAAGGTGAATTCAATGTGATGCAGTGAATAGACATACCAGAGTGAATGCAATGGCCCCTATTGCTGCATAGAGCATGTGAAGCCATGGGATCTGAAACAAACTGAAAAAGTCAAGTAAATGATCAAATGACAATTTCTGTGCAAATACAAGATGCAAAGTCATGCTTACGTATTTGAATGACAGCACGATAGCCGTGATGATGCCAGTCACAAACACTACGATTCCGAGGACACAGAAAAAACCTGAACATTTAGTGAAATCCACCTATAAAAGAAGAGAAAAGCATGGTAACATACGCGGAAACATTAAAGTCATGCTGCTGGTGTACAAATTATGCGTGTAGTCCACCTTAGTTTGGAAGCAGAACACGGTCACCGCAACAGACACAAGAACAGTGATGCCCAGGGCCAGGAAAACCGCCTTAGTGCTGTAATAGCTACAAACAAAAAATTACATTATAATATTCATAACTCTGAATTATTATTAGCAAAATAAACTACCATTCAAAAATATGGGCTCTAGAAGATTTTTGTAATGTTTTTGAAAGAACTCTCTATGCTTGCCAAGGTTGCATTTACTTGATACAATACAGTGATAAATAGAAAGTTGACAAACAGCATTTATTTGAAATAGAATTTTTCACTGTCATTTTTGTTCAATTAATTTTACCTGGTACATGCTGAATAAATGTATACAATTTTTTGGGAAAAAAAATGTGTATACATACACATCAAAACATCAATGGTAATGGCGTGGGAACAAAACCACTCTATCATTGCAAAATAAATGGACAATAGCTATTTTGCTATTTTCCCATTTCCCCACACACTCTATCTCACCACCGAGACATACATGTAGTGTGACATGTCTCACCTTGCTATATTTCCAGTCATGAACGATAAGGCCAGTGTCTAAAACAAGAAAAAAATAGGCAATGTTTATTTAAAGACTTTAGTGTCTTTGATACTTTGTCTACAGCATTACATGTAAAAACAACATTGCCCGTTACAGGTTTAGCCACACTCCCTCTTAATTCCTCCAGAATGACTCAATCTTCCAACTCACAAAAATGGCCAACAGGATCAGGTTCCATGGGAAACGCCTCCTAAAATGTGTGACAAAGGACAGGGCTAAATTCACTTATGTTTACAGTGGCTCTTTTTATGAGGGCTTTAATTTTTAGATTCAATTATTTTTTTGTTTATAATGTCTGGTATGATTTTTGTGTCCTCATTCTTACTGTGTCACATTACTAAACTACGAGCATTACAAAATATCGCCATCTGTTCTGTTTATTATTAGGTTGATTCAGAAAATGGGGTAAACATCTCACCTGGGTCCCTGACAGCAAACCAATACCAAGTGAGTGACAAAATAGACAGCACTGAAAAAAATCATTTCAACAGTCATTCACATTGTTCTACTTTACTACATTTGTATTTAATGTTATAAATATGAAGTATTCTGCATCGTTTCATTCTTACTATGAAACCCAGTAAATGGCTGGATTTTTCCTCACAAACACTCCTACAGGTTCCCTGTGCGAATAAAAACATACATTAAAGTTTAAGGACAATCTCTACCTGAACAAGCAGAGATAACATTTATCCTTTTGTGTGAACACAAAGAACAGAAAGTAACCACACACCCCCTAACAGACTCACACAAATGTGAAAATAGCCACGATGGTAGCTGTGACCAGAAGCTGCGCACCGAGGATCAGATAAACCTGCAAGACAGAAAGAACATTTTTCCAAACTCATCCATTCAGGACCATATTCATTATTCACACACGAAATCCATTAATCTGAAATAGCAACTGAGTAACATTACCATAAAACTCTTTTACTTTGAAGTAAGATTATGCAGATTACAGAAGAACGGTTCCTTACTTTTCGTATAAAAGTGTGACGGACACTAATATCGTCAAATCCTCCTGTTGTGGTAAATCCTTCATTATCACCTGTAACAATCATATTTTCTGTGAAAACTGCATCTCCTGAAGTGCTATTTGCAGAATGCCGAGTATGAATGGCCTCATTCACATCAGCCCGTGTAAATAAACCATCATATAACTGGGAGATTCTTCAACGTTGAGCACTTTGATGTACAAGAATCTTAAAATACAAAAATACATCATACAAATATGAGCATAGATACATGTTTAAACCATGCTAACTGAAACAAAGAGTCAATTAATCATAATATCTCTTGTGTGAGAATGATTTCTATCAGGTTTTTTTAAATAAGACTGTCCCACAGTTGAGTGTCATTTCCAGCACACCAAATCATTTTTACCCAATAAAGCTTTTTTATTAAACGTTAGTGTACTTGTTTACAGTGCCATTGTCTGAGATAATATATGAGACGTGAAAAAAATAAAGAGAAATCAAATATTACTTGTAAACCGAATATATATGTGCATCATTTCCAATTGCATCAAAGTATGGCAAAAGTGTGAAAATATTCTTCAATGTGTCATTATTAAACACAAATGATTTGAGATATAGTGGGAACTTTCATGACTTTAAAAAATTTAATAAGTGGAAGTTTGAAAGCTAATTTTCTAAAAGTTCACAAAGCCTAAAGTGCTCATAGTTGAAGAAATACCCAACTATGTAAGGGATAATGTACAATCCAAATAAACCCTGGTCTCACCCTGAAAGACATTTGTGATAATAATGGCAGCTGGCTGTACATTTTCCCTCTACTTGGCAAATAAATAAATAAATGGACATTTAAATGGCTTTATTACATTACAAGAAAGAGACCATGGAATGATATAAGAGACATGAAACTACCACAGATACATCCGTAGGTAATCAGTTGCCAGGAACAACAGTAAATTATATAAGAGTCATTAGAATTAGAATGCTGCGACTGACCAATCAGAATCAAGTATTCCAGAGAGACATCTAATGAATCACTACACCACTGGCCTATCAACACTAATCAGGTTAGAGCTAGGCTATAGGGACTGCATTAAGAAAAATGCTGACTTCAGTCACGATCTGCTAAAATTCAATTTCCTGAACAATGGATTGTTTAAGCGATGAACCAGATCCTAAACCTAAAGCTGATCTGGAGACCATAAAAATATTGTTCTCTAATGTTTCAGGACCATGAACACTGTGATAGCAAAAGTAAAAAGTCGAAGGTTTACTAGAAATAACAGTCTTACCTAAACCAGGAGGAATGACGGGGATGACAGGTATACTTGGCGGGGGGTATCCCGCAGGCTGGCCTCCGTATGGATCATTGGGCTGTGGGTAAGGTGGCTGTCCCCCGTACGCGTTGAAGCCATATGGGGGGACGGAAGCAGGGTAACCTCCTCCAGGCTGAGGGTTAGAGAGCAGCCGCGAATCATCGTAACCCGGAGGGAAATCTGACCTTGACATGCTGCTTTAACACCTGGTGGGTAGATGAGATACCATAATGACCATGTGTTACTAAAGTGCAGAAAATACCCAAGATAAAATCAGACTTGCTCCAAAACAATGTATTTACTTTTGATTCTTTCTTTAGGAGCATGTCAATGGTCAAGTGCTACCTGCGATTACCAAGAAGATTTGTTTGATTGATCTGCGTTTATTCTCCCATCCAGCCCTAAAATATATTCAAATAACCCTACAATCCAAGAAGTGTTTGAAATGTAAAACACCTTCTTAAGCTAAACCGTGGGACTTTTATACTTTGATCCATTCACCCCATGATCTGTCAATTATTGAACACAACCTATAACTGAGCTTAAGATGATCTTTCCCTTTAGTATTAAAATTGTTTTTAAGCAGGAAAACATATTCGTCATCCAACTCCAAAAACATTTCACAGGCAAGAATGAGCTTCCTGTTTCTGAGATGCATGCATACTCTCTCAGCGCTTTTCAATACTAACAAAAGTAGTTCACTCTGTGGTCACTAATGGTTCATTCTAGATTGCAGTGACTGATGTTGTCTCTCACTTTTAGATGAAATCCCTGTAGAAATCCATTTATATTTTAAAACACTTTTAACTGTAACTTGAAATAGTAAATAATTATAGAACGAATATTTCAAATTATTTTAATTTTGAATGTCTTTTAGAGCATGAAATTATGCACGAGGAGAGGCACTTTAAGGTAAAAGTAGCAAAAATTATCCCTTGAATCATTAAATTGATGATTTAAAAAATTAAATAAACTGAACAAGGTAAAGATTTAAAAATGAGAAAAATTGTAATAATTATATAAGAGTTATAATAACTTACAATTATTACTCATTAACGGTTTAACAATTGTGTGTAAATTATTTTAGTGAAGTTATTAACGTAATTTCGGGAGGAGTACGCCCATCTAATCTTCCAATTAATATCAGAGTATAAATACAGTCTCTTACCACTTCCGTTGTTAGTTCTTTCGGCATCCCTCCTCCTCCTTTTATGCATATTTATTAATCTTTCTGTCTATAGGGGGGCTATCGGAGCTCGAGTAGAATAGTCTCTCTGAGCCCTCCATTGCAGATATCAAACCAAATCGGTTTACCACTAATGCTAAGATTATATGGGCACACGAACTCGTGAAATACTATATACTGTAGTTATGTTATAAATATCAATGATGTTAAAGAAATATAAAAACACCTACAGTATCTTTATGAAAAACACAAGTAGTTCTTATATAGACTAAAGGCCATGTGTGATTATTCTTGTAATATTAAGTGATATTAAGATCAACAGTACCATTATTGTTTTTGTAATACCTTCGCTATCTTGAAACGTCAACCTAATTAAATTTGTCAGTGATGTTACTGGTTCTTTAGAATTGTTCTAAAATTATAGCTCTATAATTTAGTTAATGAAGTGGATAAAAATAGCAGATAACATCATTAATATAGCACAGCAAGTGTGAGAAGTTCAGCACTGACAAGTTTCATTTTTGAAAACAATTCAGACGGAAATGTAAAATCTTAATTAAGGACAACATTTATGCAAGAGCACTAAACTTAGAATATCCTTCCTGCCTCTTCCCATCAAGATCTATGATGTGGCTAGGGGTTTGAGAGGTACAGATGCAAACAACAGATAAGTGGACATAAATTCACTCTGTGACTGCACGTCCACACTTTGAAAGGTTTCTTTCCATTTTAATCTTAACAATGACGTTCATGAAAGATATGAACTTACAATATTTTGGATCTGCGAGTACAACTTTCTGAAAAACTCCAGAATATGAAATATGAAATCAAATACCAAAGCTTCAAATATTATGTTGCCATTTTCACTCTCACAGTACTGATCACAGCAAAAAAGCACTAACCGCACTTTAAACAGTCTTCCTGGAAACAACCAACAAGGCACAGCCCATGAAAGGTCTTACAGTGAGTGGTGTGAATACACTTAGTTTTTCCTCAGCGACTACGTTCTCCTATGCTCAGTTTAGGGAATGAGATTTTGAAATTTGAATGATACTTTTTTTTCTTTGCATGCATTAAGACATTATTTGTGTCAAAGGGATAGTTCACCCAAAAATGAAAAGTTGATGTTTATCTGCTTACCCCCAGGGCATCCAAGATGTAGGTGACTTTGTTTCTTCAGTAGAACACAAACGAAGATTTTTTACTCAAACCGTTGCAGTCTGTCAGTCATTTAAATGGAGGTGAATGGGAATCACGGCTTTGAGAGTAAAAAAAACATACACAAACAAAACCAAATTAAACCCTGCGGCTCGTGACGATACATTGATGTGTAAAGACACGAAACGATTGGTCTGTGCAAGGAACTGAACAGTCTTTATGGCAGATCGCAGACTTATAAGTGCATTACCACCAACTATTTCTCAAATGGACCATTGACACTGATCTCAATTAGGAGTGTCAATGGTCCATTTGAGAGATAGGTGGTGGTAATGCACTTATAAGTCTGCGATCCGCCGTAAAGCAAGAAGAAGACGCGTCACGCGCTGGCTGAAGAAGACGCAAACGCGCTCAGGACAGTTCGGACCTTGTAGTAAATCAGAGGTAAAAAAACGATATAAATACTGTTCAGTTTCTTGCACAGACCAATCGTTTCATGTCTTTACACATCAATGTATCGTCACGATCCGCAGGGTTTAATTTGGTTTTGTTTGTGTATGTTTTTTTTGACTCTCAAAGCCGTGATTCCCATTCACCTCCATTATATGACTGACAGACTGCAACAGTTTGAGTTAAAAATCTTTGTTTGTGTTCTACTGAAGAAACAAAGTCACCTACATCTTGGATGCCCTGGGGGTAAGCAGATAAACATAAAATGTTCATTTTTGGGTGAACTATCCCTTTAAGACATTACTTCCTGTTGTCAAACAGAGGTAAAGCAGCTCATGCAGGACCACACAGTGAGGTCAACATGCACATGTGACTCACATCTGCTAAGGAAAATCTTATGCAACCCAACTGAAAGTGAATCAGATTGTCATTTTATGAAAGTATCCTGAGAAAAGGTGTTTCTGCATTTCAAGTTCAGGAAGGAGTGACTGTCAAATTAACTTTAGAGAGCAACTAAACTGAGTCATAGGCTGTTACTACATGAACCAACATTTTCCAGGATATGTGACAAACTTCATGAACAATATAAAACCAGGTTTAATGTCACTTTTTACTTTCAGACCAAGCACATACATGTAAGTACTTTCTCGTTTATACACCTCTATGGTATGTAGGCCGATTATAATATTTACAAAAACATGGAGGGTGCCGTGTAATTCAAGCCAAACTGGAAAAGAATGTCTCCTTTCTTTAGGAGTTCAACACTGCCAGCATGACTCAAGCAAACCTGCCACACACGGTTACATCATTATGTTCTCTGTTAAGCAATCTTTTATATTTAGTGGAAAATAAATGACACTTATTTCCTTACTGGTCCACCCTAGTACTTGAGATTGTTGTGTAACACTGTTACAAACTGCTAGATATTCCATCCCTAAGGCGGCAGGAGGGCATTTTAGAAAAGTGTGATCTTACTCCCATATTCCTCCATTCTAACATCACCTTGAAATATAGACTAGAAGCCAGTTAAATACAGGCTAAAATTCACAACTGTATTATACAGCTGTTTAACACGTTCACAAATATTTTGGCCTCATTCCCCCTTCGCAAATATTTACCACGGTTACCGTAGTTTCCGTCAAAATAACAGATAGATATTTCACGTACTGTTAAAGCATAAATTAATCAATCGATGTAAAAAGCTGTCGAACAGTACCTTATGCATTACAAGAGCACGTGATGGTAAAATAAAACAGTAACAATCTTACCACGCGCTGTCTGAAATCCAGAAAACTAAACACAATCGATGCTGAAGCTTGGAGAAAGAAATATCTGGTAATATGATCCTTCAAACTGAGCCTTTTAAAATAAAAACTCGTGAGTTGACGCACTGATCCACCTTCTTCAGTGTCAGATCAACTAGTGTACAGCCAGCAGTCAGTCGATGACGTTCCGTGTAATAATGTGCTCAAGATGCTTAAACCAGCAGGTGGAGTCAGCCTGAAACATTGCGTGCAACTAAAACATAATTCATAGAACAAATAAGCCACAAGATAGCTGTTATACCAGTACAGTTATGCTTTGCTGAAGTTAAAACGACATCTAATACAGTATTGTCTGTCTGCTCTCTTTACGTAACGCTTCACCAAAAAACACATGCAAGATGTCTGTCGAGGTGTGGTGGTGAACTAGACACACCCAGGCTGCATATTTGTATTCTTAGATGAGGTGAGACCTACAAAATGTATGGCGAGTGGATCGTGCCACGGATTACCTGCCGAAGGAGACAGTCATTAACTTTTACGTGTGAGAAGCAGGGCTGGATTGGTAATCGGGCATCTTCCCGGTGGGCCGACGCACGTAAGGGGCCGACAGAAGGTTGTTTTTTTTTTGCCAACAGCAGATTTATCAAGAACAGGCTTGCTCTGCGGTGAGTGATTCTGGCCAAAGAGCCAGGCAGGAGGAGGAGAGTAGCTGAATCGGTAATGTGCTTGATAGGGACTCGCAACAGAGGCAGACATCTAACCTATCCTAATGTGTGTGCGCGCCATGAGTGTAGAATAGGTAAACACTTTTTAATAAAATGTAAATTCGTCCCCTGAGCTTTTTTGGCCAAGTCAAGTGTTCATAGAGGTTTCCATGGGCCAATGCGAATAAATCTAGATTTAAATTAAAAAAGACACGATATTGTCGGACCTGACGTTTTATTCTTATCCAAAACAACTAGATGTGATATGAGTGTGATACATACACTACCAGTCAAAAGTTTTTGAACAGTAATATTTTTTTATGTTTTTTTTTAATTAGTCTTTTCTCACCAAACCTGCATTTATTTGATCCAAAATACAGCAAAAGCAGTAATATTGTGAA